CACATTTGTATTTCCACATGTATATTTTTTACTTTTTTTATGCTATTTTATTTCTATTTGAGATGTTAACATTTTAGATTGTTTATTCCTAATTTTCTCTAATGTACAATGCCTTGTCTTTTGATGCTGCTGCAACACAAACATTTCACACATTGGGATCAATAAAGTACTTCTTATCTTATCTTACCCAGGATGCAAAGCTGGATACCATCCCTGCAGCGCCCCCTGCAGGACCCAGCAGAACACTCCATCTCCGAACAACATTACCCAGCACGCACCTCCTCAGAACCACTTTACCCAGCATGCACCTCTGCAAACACACTGTGTAGAAGAATAACTCACCGACGGTGTTTCCCAGCAGGGTGCGGACCCCAATGGCGAAGCCCTCAGCAAACTCCTCCGGGCCCTGGACGGCTCCCTGAGGGACGCCACAGCAAACATGTGATCCTGGCACATCTGAGGACCAGTTTCCCGGTTGAAAATGATTTAAAAAGTGTGTGTTACCTGGAAAGGCTCGTAGAAAAAGGCCTCCACACCCTCGGACAGACCACGGATCAGTCCGAACGGGTTCCCCAGGACGTCCAGACCCAAAACCAGAACATACATCTGCTTCAGGAACTGCAGTCATAAACACACACACATATCATATTATATATCTGCAGACATATAAAAATAATCCTAAAACTGCAGTCTGATCTTGCTTTTATAAGAAAACGTTAGATTTGATGTACCTGCTCGCTGTAATGCCGGACCACCGCCCACATCAGCTTCTCTCTGCGATAAAACTGGTACTTCACCTCGAAGAAGGCCAGCCTGAAGAGAGGAGCAGGAACATCATACAAAGGAAACAGGAAGCAGGGAACAGGGAACAGGAAACAGGAAACAGGGAACAGGAAGCAGGATACAGGATGCAGGATACAGGAAGCAGGGAACAGAAAGAAAAGAACAGGAAGCAGGATACAGGAAGCAGGAATAAAGGAAGCAGGGAGCAGAAAGAAAAGAACAGGAAGTAGGATTCTCCCTCACTTGAAGACGATGTCGTCCACGTCAGTCAGCGTGGCTCCGATGCTCTGCAGCAGCAGGTTCAGACTCTGCATCGCCTCGGGAGACTCCTCTGAGCCGGAGGAGCCCAGAGACAGACTCAGGTGCAGCTGCAACATGTAACATATACACTTATTATATAATTAATGTAAGTATTATATAACATATGTATTATGTATCAAATATATTATGTGTGGACCTTGATGGGGGAGATGTGGAAGTGTTGGAAGAAGCTGAGAGTGGACTGGTCGGAGAGCGAAGTCTCCATCAGCTCCGTCTGAAGCTTCTTCAGGTCTTTATCCAGCAGCCCGGCCTGAAACAGGGATATACTGTTTGAATTCTGTACATTTATATATACTTCTATTACTTCTATTTCTACGTCTCTACCTTCTGCCGCTCGGCATGAAGCTCAACAGCGGGGGTGAACAGAGCCAAGATGGCCGACAGGAAACCCTGATCGATCTTTACCGCCATTTCCTGAACCAGAGCCATGAAGTACCTGAAGGGTAGAGAGTGACACACTTGGTTTACCCTCCCGTTAAAGTGGTTTACCTCACTTTCCACTGGTGGTCACTCACTTGATCTGCATGACGTTGCTGTGCCGGTTGAACCTCGTGATTACGGACACTTCGATGAAGGGCTTCGGCTCTGTGGAGGCAGGGCTCCGAGTTAAAATCACACACTGAATCACGAATACATTTTTAAAAAAAAAGTTTAACAAAGAGGATCCACCTGAGTCCAGAGCGATGGATTTGGGCGGAGGAACGGGATGGAAGACAATCGGGAAGATGGCGCCGGGCAACTGGTTGTCCACCTGCAAACAGAGAGTGTCAGACAGGTGTGTGTGTGAGTGTGTGTGTGTGTGTGTGTGTGTGTGTGTGTGTGTGTGTGTGTGTGTGTGTGTGTGTGTGTGTGTGTGTGTGTACGGTCGTACGTCGTACGTACGACG